GGATGCTGTACTTTGTCAAATGCTTTTTCTGCATCTATTGAGAGGATCATATGGTTCTTGTTCTTTCTTTTATTAACGTATCACATTGATTGATTTGCGGATGTTGAACCAACCTTGCAGCCCAGGGATAAATCCCACTTGGTCGTGGTGAATAATCCTTTTAATGTACTGTTGGATCCTATTGGCTAGTATTTTGGTGAGAATTTTTGCATCCACGTTCATCAGGGATATTGGTCTGTAATTCTCCTTTTTGATGGGGTCTTTCTCTGGTTTTGGGATCAAGGTAATGCTGGCCTCATAAAATGAGTTTGGAAGTTTTCCTTCCATTTCTATTTTTTGGAACAGTTTTGATGTCCATTAGCATGGTAAATGGTTTTCCACCCCCTCACTTTCAATCTGGAGGTGCCTTTGGGTCTAAAATGAGTCTCTTGCAGACAGCATATCAATGGGTCTTGTGTTTTTATCCAATCTGATAGCCTGTATCTTTTGATTGGGGCATTTAGCCCATTTACATTCAGGGTAACTATTGAAAGATATGAATTTAGTGCCATTGTATTGCCTGTAAGGTGACTGTGACTGTATATTGTCTGTGTTCCTTTCTGGTGTCTGTTACTTTTAGGCTCTCTCTTTGCTTAGAGGACCCCTTTGAATATTTCTTGTAGGGCTGGTTTCGTGTTTGTAAATTCTTTTAGTTTTTGTTTGTCCTGGAAGCTTTTTAATCTCCCCTTCTATTTTCAATGACAGCCTAGCTGGATGTAGTATTCTTGGCTGCATATTTTTCTCATTTAGTGCTCTGAATATATCATGCCAGTCCTTTCTGGCCTGCCAGGTCTCTGTGGATAGGTCTGTTGCCAGTCTAATGTTTCTACCATTGTAGGTTTCAGACCTCTTATCCCTGAGCTGCTTTCAGGATTTTCTCTTTGTCTCTGAGACATGTGAGTTTTACTATTAGATATTGGGGTGTTGACCTATTTTTATTGATTTTGAGAGGGGTTCTCTGTGCCTCCTGGATTTTGATGCCTGTTTCCTTCCCCAAATTAGGGAAGTTCTCTGCTATAATTTGCTCCAGTATACTTTCTGCCCCTCTCTCTTCTTCTGGGATCCCAATTATTCTAATATTGTTTCATCTTTCGGTATCACTTCTCTCTCGAATTCTCCCCTTTCTTTCAAATTCTCAGTAGTTGTTTATCTCTTTTTCTTAGCTTCTTTATTCTCTATCCTTTGGTCTTCTAGATCACTAATTCTCTTCTGCCTCATTTATCCTAGCAGTTAGAGCCTCCATTTTTGATTGCACCTCATTAGTAGCCTTTTTGATTTCGACTTGGTTAGATTTTATTTCTGCAGAAAGGGATTCTCTAGTATCTTCTATGCTTTTTTCAAGCCCAGGTAGTATCTTTATAATTGTCATTCTGAACTCTAGTTCCAACATCTTACTAATGTCCATATTGATTAGGTCCCTGGCAATTGGTACTGCCTCTTGTTCTTTTTTTTGAGGTGAGTTTTTCTGTTTTGTCATTTTGTCCACAGAGAAGAACAGATGAATGAGAGAACAAAATGCTAAAAGGGTAACAACGACCCCAGAAAAATATACACTAAACAAATCAGAAGAGACCCGAAACCAGGGGGAAAAGAAAAAGAGTATGATCAGGCTGGTGACTAGAACAGAGCTACACACTAGATTTTGGGTGTATTTTGGTCTGTGAGAAGAAACTGCCTCCCAAAATTCTAAAGAAAGAAAAACATATATATATATATACACAAAAATAAGGGTAAATACAATGAAGGGATGGAATATGACTGTAAAGATGAAAATTTAAAAAGATTTTAAAAGAGGAATTGATAAGAAGTTGGTTGAAAAATGAAGGAAAAAATTTTTAAAAAGTAGAGAATGTGATCCAGGCAGGAGACTAGAACAAAGCCATACACTAGATTTAGGATATATTTTGGTCTGTTAGAGAAACTGTATCCCAAAATCTTAATGAAAGAAAAACTTACATATATACCAAAAACAAAGTTAAATACAATAAAGGGATAGACTATGACTGTAAAAATGAAAACTAAAGATTTTTTAAAAGGAGTTGATAAGATGCTGCTTGAAAAAGGAAAGAAGAAAAATTCAACTAAAAAAATAGAAAAAGAAAAAAATAAAGAAAATTTAAAAAATTAACTTTAAAAGACTAAAGAATCATGGTAAAAAAGCTATGAATTCTATGTGCAGTATCCCCCTAGCGCTGGAGTTCTGCCGTTCTCATTGATCGGCAAACTTGGTCTTGGCTGGCTGTTCGTGCTGATCTTCTGGGGGAGGGGCCTGTTGCCGTGGTTCCCAAATGTCTTTGCTGGAGGCGGAATTGCCCTGCCCTTGCCGGGGTCGGGCTAAGCAATCGGCTTGGGTTTGTTCCCTGCAAGCTTTCCGTTTGTCTTTGGAGGACGAGAGTGAAAATGGCAGCCTCCCAATCTCCGCCCCAGCGGAGCCGAGAACTCGGGGCCGCACTCCTGAGTGAGCCCCAGAGAAAAGCAGTCAATCGCTCCTGCCTCCCCGGTCTCCGGCTGCACTCCATGCTCACCCAGCCTGTGACCAGGTGTTTCTATCTCTGGCACCTGACTCCGTGTGGAGTCCCCAAACGCAGCAGATCCCTGCGGTGCGCTCCCGCGCCGCTCCTCCTGGGGGAGGAAGGGGAGTCTCCCCGAATCTGCCGCTTGTTGGGTCCCTGCTGGAGGAGCAGTGGCCCGACTGTGTCACCGATCACAGTTTATGGCAACCCCGAGCCGAGAGCCCACGCCTCGGCTCCGTCTCTGCAGCCGGCTTCCCCGCTCCGATACCCAGGAGCTCTGCTGCACTCAGGCACCCCCGGTCTTTCTGTGACCCCGAGGGTTCTGAGACCACGCTGTCCCAGCGAGGGTTCCACCCCCCGCTTAGCCACTGGAGCGACTTCCCTCAGCAGAGCCGACTTCGAAAAGTTCCGATTTTGTGCTCCACGGCTCTATCACTTGCCAGAAGTGGCTGATGGAGTCCTCCCCCCCCCCCCCCCCCCCGTCTATCCTCCCGAATATGGCCTGATATAAGGATATAAGGATTGCCACTTCTCCGCACGTCCTACCTTCCAGTAAGTGGTCGCTTCTCTGTTCAGAGAGTTGTTGCTTCTTTTCTTCGATCTCCTGTTGAGTTCGTAGGTGTTCAGAATGGTTTGATCCGTATCCAGCTGAATTCCTGGGACCAGACGAAATCCAGGTCTCCTACTCCTCTGCCATCTTGCTCCTCCTCCTCTGAGATCAATTCTTATAAGAGGAATTGCTACATCGAAGGATGGCTGCGTTTAAAATTTTTATATCATCACATTGTCCCCTAAAAATGCAGTGCCAAGAGACACTGTCACCCACAGGGTAGGTAAGTGCCTACTCCACACATCACTCGAGGCTCTGCTATTATCTTCCAGGCTGATGGCCAGAAGGTATTTTCTGGTATATCGCTTACTTCCTTGACTGTTTGAGAGGCTGGGTACCCCTTCATCCAGCTATTGGCACTTACATGCATTTGGTCCATTTTAAATCAAATGATTTCTTTTTTTTACTGTATGTGATGGATGATAAGCCTGTGTAGTTTGTTACCTGTCATGGAACCGTTGTCTACAGAACCTTTCCTCTTAGGAAGAGTTTCATCTTTTATCTGATCAAACCCACTATGGCTACGTTTTAGCTGAGTTTTAGGTTTCTCTTACAAAGATCTCAAATTTTTAGAATAAAATTGTTTTGTATTTCATTCTGATAGATGGCTTTAAATGTGTAGTGCTTTAATCTATGTGGAATTTTTTTGTTTGTTTACCTTTTGTTGTAGAAAACCTCAAGCATACCCATTTATTTAGAAGCAAATACCACACATGCCATTTTATCTGTAAAAGTTTAAGGTGTTATTTCCACAAGATGATGCTTTTTTTTTTTTACATGTACAGCCATGTTATCATCATCACACCTGTGAAAATTCACAACAGTTGCCTTATATCATCCAGTATCCAACCAGTGGTCACATTCCCAACTGCGTTACGTCATGTTTTGTTTGAATTAGAAGTGAGATAAAGTTTTTAAAATGCATTTGGTTGGCGTATTTCTCAAGTTGATGGCTGTCATGTTCCTCTGTTCTCTGTACATCCTCTAAATTGGCTCTCTAAGGTAAATTTAGAGTTATCAGATACAGAGTCTCATTTTTTTGGCAAGACTACTACTTTGGCAAGGTGGGGTTCTGTTTGCATTTATTTTTATATATGGTATAAGATGAGGATCTAACAAAATATTTTTTCAAATACATGGTTAATTGCATGCTGTACCAATACCATTTATGGAATAGTTCACTCTTTCCTCCCAGTAATTTGAAATGCCACCATTCTCTCTCTTTCTCTCACACACACACACAGTTCATTTCTGAACTCTTGTGCTCTTGATCGTTGTCTATGCCTAAGCCATAGGATTTTAAATCCTGTAGCTTGACGGTTTGTTTTCATATTTAATAAGGCAGCTCATCCTTCATTGATCTTTTTAAAGCAATTTTTGGCTTTTCTTGTGCTTATTCTCTGCCATCATAATTTACCATTTGTTTAATCCACATGTTAAGACTGGGATTCATTGACTTTGTAGACTCTAATGAATCTTTCTAGCCAGGAATATGGTCTTTTCTTCTACACATTCAGAGGTTTGGGTTTTTTTTTTTTTTTTTTTTTAATGTCTCTTAGTGCAGTTTTATGCTTTTCTTTATGTAGTTCATTACAATTTTTGTTAGGTTTATTTTTTGGTATCTTGCTATTTTTTTCCCACTATCTTTATTTCTCCATGCATTTTCCAATTGGTTATAGGTGGTACTTGGGAAAGCTGGAGTTTTTACAAGCTGATCTTACACTTGCCCGGCCACCTTGCTGAGCTCACTTTTTAGAGGTTGTAATAATTTGTTTCATGTTGATTATTCCGGATTTCCTGGTTGGCAGTGATATCATCTGCAACTGGTTTCTTTTCAGGCTCATGCAGAGTCAAGTAAAACCTGGCTGACGGGAAAATTCACTGAACTCAGACTACTACTTGATGAAGAGGAAATGCTGGCCAAGAAATTCATTGATAAAAACACACAGCTAACCCTCCAGGCGTACAGGGAGCAAATCGAATCTTGCAAAGAGCAAATAGATGGCATGCACAGTCTCTCCAACAGGGTCTGGAGTATCAGCCAGGAGCCCGATCCCATACTGCTGCTGCAGGTAATGCTGGGCTCCTGTCCTCACAGCGGACCCCTGCTCTCCACTCTCCCCCGCCCCCGGCATTTCATCTCAGTTACTGTGGCACTGAACACAGGGTTTATGCACTGAGTGAATACACAGAGAATTGCCTTGTCAGCATGCAGGCTTTCTTGCCCCCACACAAGTGGTAAGGAAATAGGCATTGTTAGCAAGAGCATATACATCTTAAGACTAATGACATAAAATTAACAGCCACCATTTTGGGCAGGGGGAGGGGGGGCTCTATGTTCCAAGCACTTTATGCTCTCATATTTACTAAAACTCTGCAAAGTGGATGTTCTCACGCCATTTTATGAATGAGCAGTTGAGGCCCAGGGAGGGTGAAGTGACTTGTCCGAGGTCACAAAGCTAATAGGCGGCAGAGCTGTGATCAGAACCCAGGTCAGCCTGACTCCAGAGCCACCGGCACAGCTGCCCGGCCCTCTGCCTGGGCACTCTTACTTGAGACCCCCTCCTGGAAAGGCAGGGGTCCTTCCAGCTACCGAGCAGGCTCCAAGAGGTGACTCACACTTTGCTCAAAGGGGAGAGAAGGATGGTACTCTTTGGCCACTGGGCTCTGTTGGAGGCTATCACCTTATACCGAGGGAGCATCTAGGAAATAGCCCCTGTGATTCATTACTATATTAGTGAACACATGTTGTTGAGAGTGGTGTTCCTGTTCCTAAGTAACCACAGGAGAAACTCCCCTCTCGTGCTGATCCTCCCGCCTGGCCCCCTGTGCACTGGGATGGCTTTCCTACTCACATAACCCTCCCCTGTTTCCTTCTTCGCCCTGGATTCTGGCAACCTAAGAGCTACATAGGTTTCAAATGGCTTGGCAGGGACTTGGCGGCTTACACTTTGTTCCTCCTCTCACTCTGGCTTCCCGCTTACTTTCTTATCCTGGTGTTCTCTTGGCTTAAGTTTTCTCGCTATAGAGGAAAATCTTGCTGTGTTAGATAACCTTTGTAAGATGCTTTACAGGCTTGTGGGACAACTAAATAAAGGTGTCACTGAGTCTAATCACAGATTAGGCTTTGGCTGGAAAATAAGACCGACAAATAAATCAGGCAGTACCAAACCAGTTAAGCCAGTCCGCGGCAAATATTTCTAGGCTTGTGTGTGTATGTGGCCTTAGTCAGTTCAGCCTGTGTGTCTCATTGTTAGCTAACAAAAGAATACATCTAACAAACGATACCGGGTGAGGTGCCTTCCTAGGCACATTGGATATTATACTTTGAGAGGAGCAAGGTGCACAGAGGGGTACATTTGTTTGTTTCTTCAAAAATAATGGTACTGGGTAGGGATATCTAATACAAAGGGATGCTTCCACGGAGAAAAATGTTTTTCTTGTATCATAGATACAGTTTCAGGGCTTTATCATCTTTTTTCTTTATTCTTTGGTGCCAGAGCTACTGATGTTCATCATTCATCATTCCTCCCTTTTTTTTTTTTTTAAAGATTTTGGGGACGCCTGGGTGGCTTAGTCGGTTAAGCATCTGCCTTTGGCTCAGGTCATGATCCCAGGGTCCTGGGATCGAGCCCCGCATCGGGCTCCCTGCTCGGCGGAGAGCCTGCTTCTCTCTCTCCCACTCCCCCTGCTTGTGCTCTCTCTCTGACAAATAAATAAAATCTTTAAAAAAAAAAAAAGATTTTATTTATTTTGACAGAGAGAGAGAGATAGCGAGAGAGGGATGCGGGGCTCAATCCCAGGACCCTGGGATCATGACCTGAGCCGAAGGCAGCCACTTAATGACTGAGCCACCCAGGTGCCCCATCATTCCTCCCTATTTGCTCACTCATGTATTCTTCAAATATATACTGAGCAGCTTGTTCGTGCCAGGCTCCTGTTTGACACTGAGAGCTTGAGGGTGGGGGGACATGCTCAGAAATAGTTATTTACAACACAGCCCAAGTGAGCCAGCAGAAGTATGTCTACAAAGTGTTCAGTTCTGCATGGCGGGGGTGGGTCAGAAAAGACTTCTAAGGGGAGGTGACCGTGGAGCTGGGTGTGGGAGCATGAGGAGCTCACCAGGGATATACAGAGGGACAGAGCAGAGAGGACATCCCAGGCAGAAAGGAATCATGTGCACATGAGGGCCTGGCAGGCTGGAGAACCGCTAGGGTTTAGCCTGGCTGGAGGCAGGGCAGGGGTACAAGGGAGGAGGGTACATCTCTGTTGGGAGATGCAGCTGGATCCGGAAACCGGGGCTAGTTAGTGGAGGGCCATATATGCCTGGCCATGGGTTTAGACTGTCCTGTAAAGATTTGGGAGCCAGGGGAGCGTTTTGAATTGGGGAACAACCTGGTCGGTGTAATGCTTTTGGAAGGTCACTTTGGTGACAGGGAGGATGATGGACTGCGGGGGCCAGGGCCAGCGGACAGGCATCAGGATGAGGAGAGGCAGGCAGGTTTGAGATGCAGCAGGATTGGTGAGTGGAAGTAGGGGGGATCCAAGATGATGCCCAGTTTCTGGCTTGAAATATGGGTGGCTAGGGAGCTGTTCCCTGAGTTGGCAAAGATGAGAAACAGGTGTGCTCAAGTTCATTCCTTATTCTATTACGAACATTTACTGAGAACCCCCTGCTGCCCCCGAGAACTACGAGCAGCTGTCACTGCCTCACCGGCACTCCCACACCCAGGCCTCAGATTGGAGGAGCCTGGTCACATGCCTGCACCTCGGTGCAAAGGAGGCTGGGAGAGTGAGTTTTCTAGCTTCTACTTAGCAAAGCCACACTTAACCCAGGAAGGCTATTTAAAGGGGGAGGTCCAGGCAGTAAACAGGACAGGTCCTCACGGTGGCGGGCATGTTCCCTCAGTCGGCATTCCAGCTGAATTTCCAGGGTCTTTGACTTCCCCCCTGGAACGTGGTTTCCTGTTCTCTCCTTTGGACATGCCCAGAGGGCTCTTTCCCCAGGAAAACTGGCCCATCATTCCTTTCGTCCCCCCGTATGTCAGGCAGAGCCCTGTGGCAGTGTCTGGAAAGCTTCAGGGCCCCTTGCAAGGTGGTGAGCAACTTAAGGGCAGGTGCAGTCAGCCAGCCTCCTTCCTTCCTCTGCCCTTCATGCCTTGAGTAGAGCGCCAGGAACATGGAAGGAAGGGAGGGAGGGAGAAGTCAACAGTGCAGTCTCGCCAGAGCTGTTTCCGGGAGCACAGCCTGGGCTGCTCCCAGGTGCGGGGGCGGGATGGGGGCCACCCTTGCTGGCCCCGGTTTGGTCCAGGGTGCAGCGGGTGGAGCCTGGGACAGCATCCGCCGCTCCCGGAGCCACCCTGACCCCCCGCACACCCTCGCAGGAGTACAGGGCCGTGGAGCAGGAGATGCAGCAGCAGATGAGCCTGGGAGACCTGTGCTACCCAGAGCCCCTCTCGTTCGAGCCTGTCAAGAGCTTCTTTAAGGGCCTCGTGGACGCCATGCAGAGCATGTTACAGACGCCACTGGACGTTCGCCTTAAGGAGAGTAAGTTGCTGCGGAACCAGCCTTGTGTCCCTAACTCCCCTAGGACCCTTTAACCCAGAGACGACTGCGAAGACCTAAATCCTGTCTCTTCCACACAAAGGCCCATGGCTGGGTGGTAGAGGACTCCTGGGCCTAGGCCCTACCCACCCTTCAGACTTCACTTCCTTCCTCTTCTGAGACCCTGTCCTGCCTCTTGCAACCATACTGCTCTGCTTCTGCCCCTAAGTTGCTCCCAGGACTCTGCTGCACCTTATCTTTGCCTGCTCTGGACTCCCAGCTGGAATAGCCAACTCCCCTCCTCCTCTCCCTCTGGCCAAGTCCCACCAAGGCCCAGCGGTGCTCACCCCAGAAGCCTTTCCGCACCACCCTGGGCCGGCTGTGCTGGCCACTGCTTCTCCCCCCTCCACACCCTGCTGCATCTCCGGCCTGGGGCTGCCCCTGAGCTGGAGACAAGAGCCTCCCCCTGCCTGTCGTAAATGCCCAAAGGGTAAGAACCACTTTGAGCCCTGCTCCGAGGTCCCTGCAGGGCCTAGCACGAAGCAGGCGCTCAGAAATACCTTTCTTCCTTCATTCATCTCCGCTCTTATGATTTCTCCAGAACACTTACTGAGCCCCTCTTCTCTGTTAGGCACGGCAGGGCACAAAAACAAAGGTCTTGCCTTTGTGGTGCTTCGTGTTCTGGGAGCAAGACAGTAAGAGAGTATGTCAACAGTAAGTGCTCTGGAGAAAAATACAGCAGGGTGAGAATTCAGGGTGACCAGAAGGAGGAGCTGGATTTTTTATGGGGCTGTGGAGATGGCATCTCTGAGAAGGGGACGTGCATCTTCCCCGCAGTCCGCTGCTGCTTGACTCCAGTCCGCTGCCAGTAAACACTTGGGCCCTGGCTTGTCTGCCACTGCAGCAGTTCCTCCCGCGGCCCCTCTGCCGTCCATCCTGCCCCGCTTCGGGCCTGAGCCTCCAAGCAGGACCTCTGCCTCCACGCTCACCCTGCCCCATCCACTCCCCACCACAGGGAGCTTTGAAAGTTCTGCTCGTGTCTGCCTTCAGGCAGACACCTTCCGTGGCTCCCCAGTTTCGGTGCCACTATGAGCACCTGCCCTTAATGCCTGTGCTCCCGCTCATACCCTCTTGCTGGGAAAGCCTTCCATCTTTCTCTGGATGTCCAAATCTTCCCTGTCCTTCAAGGGCTAGCTGAGGCGCTTCCTCCTCTATGATGTCTGCCCTGATTCCTCTCTCTTCTCTGTGACCTGGAGCACTCCGTGCCTTGGCAGGTAGCTCAGGTGAGCTCACTTCTCACCTTCTTTACCTGATGGAGCTGTGGAAGACAGGGACCATGGCTTGGGTTTCCCCTCAACTCCCTTGCACTGGAATGAGACCTGACATGACCTTTTCTGATGACCTAATTTCTCGTTTTCCATTTTACCCCGGAATCTGTATGTCTGCCAGGCGGTGGCCCCCATGCTTGACTGTTGAATACATCGTTGATTCTCCTGGTCCTCCTTGAGCCTGCTGTCCCGTCCCTGGGTTCAGGGCTCGCTCACACTGGCCTGAATTCACTTCCCACCCACCCTCCGAAGTACACTTCTCCTTAGACCCGAGTATCGTCCTAGAGTATTCCTGTCTGTCTCGAATTCCTGAATTTGCATTTACTGCTTAAATTTGCATGCACCTCTCGGGGAGAGATGATGCGAATCTCCAGTTTTGTAATATTTTTAGTATGTTTTGTAACTTGCTGTGCTTGCATGAGCGCCAGGCACTCATTTCTCACAATCTTTTACAGACACGAACTGCCAGCTCTCGGGCTCCACGAGCACCAAACTAGCTTCCCTGTTGAAAACAAGCCCTTCACCAGAGCGATCACTCTTCTTAAAATGTAAGCCCCAGGGAGCGGGGAGCAAAGGGAGGGTGGAGAGGGCTGGGTGCGTGGGTAAGGGGGGGCGGGTCACAGAAATGGAGGTCACTCCCTTTTTTTCTTAACACACCCAACTTGGGTTTTTTTCAACCTTTATTGCTAGTTTTTAAATAACAGAAATAAGGAGCACCTGGCTGGCTCAGCTGGTAGAGCATGTGACTCTTGATCTCAGGGTCGTGAGTTTGAGCCTCACGTTGGGTGTAGAGATTATTACCTAAAAGTAATAATAATAAAAAATCTTAAATACAGAAATAATACATGTTCATTGTAGAAAAACTAGGAAACAAAAACAAAAATTTTTTAAAGAAAATCACTTTCCCATAGATAACTACTATTATTGTTTGCCCTGTTAGCTTTCTTTGGTTTCTCTATACATACAAGGATATATTTAATATATATATTTTTTACAAACATGGTGTCATACTATACATGCTGTTTTGTAACCTGTTTTTATTTAGTGATATATTGTGAAAAGCTTTGTTCCCTTAAAAAATTACACAGGTAATGGATGCTTCTTACAGAAAATTAGAAATTAGATATAAAAAAAACCCAAAGAAAAAGGCTATTAATATTTTGGCATACATTCTTTCAGACATTTTAAAAAGATATGTGTACAGATTTTTAAAAGTGGGATCGCATATTCTTTTGTAAATTTTTTATTTAACAGTATACCTTGAACAATTTATTTGAATAGATTTAAATATTATCATTATTTTTAAAGGATGCATGGTATTCCATTGATTGAATAGGCCACATTTAACCAGTCTCATAATGCTGGGCATTTAGGCTGCTTTACATTTCCATTTCTGTAAACAATGCTGCAATAAATGTCCATTCTTGTACATATTTGCTGAATAAGTGAATGGATATACCTTAGCTCATTTTTAAATTATTTTATAGGAGTAATTTTTCAAAGTGGAATTACTGGGCATGTGCCTTTTAAAGTAAACCTGGAGATATAAAATACATAAAAGTACAGAATCAAAGGGGTGCTGCTCATTTTTTTAAAGATTTTATCTTTTTAGAAAGAGAGTGAGAGCAGAGGCAGGGAGGGGGCGCAGCAGAGGGGAAGGGAGAGGAAGAGGGAGGAAATCTCCAGCAGACTCTGCACCAAGCATAGAGCCCAGTGCAGGGCTCGATCTCAATGACCCTGAGATCATGGCCTGAGCCAAAACCAAGAGTTGGATGCTTAACCAACTGAGCCACTCAGGCGCCCCATTTTTTTAAAGTGAATACAGTCTATAACCTCCTCCAGACCAAGAAATGGAAATTTCCAGCTCCCCAGAAGCCTTCCTCATTCAGCCTCCTGTTCACTACTCCCCCAAGGGTAACTGCTGTCCTGATTTCTGACACTGTAGATTAGTTTTGCCTGTCTTTGGCCTTTACATGACTAGCTCATTCAGATTGTACTTTGTGTTTTGCTTCTGTCACTTAACATAATATTTGGGACATTTATCCATATTACTGTGCATAGAAGTAGTTTGTTTTCACTGCTGTATATAGTATCCCATTGTATGAATATAGCACACGTTATACTATTGAAGGACATTTTGGATTGTTTCCGGTTTGGCCTGTAGTGAATGATGTTGCTATGAACATTCCTATGCATGTCTTTTTGATGCACATATGCATGCATTTCTGTTGAGTATTTACCCAGAAGTGGGAGAAAAGGATGCCTACCATAACCCCATTTCTGGATGTCCTATACAGTGCCTTGAGGTAAGAAAAAGAAATGAAAGCTGTAAGGATGAGAAAAGGGGGGGCAATAAACAATTAGAAAATGAAGTTTTAAAAACATTATTTTCAGTGACATTTTAAAAAAATCAGGAATAAATCTCAACAAAAGATGTGCAAAACCTTGCTACAGGAAACTCCACAAACGATTCTACAGTATCGACTAAAGCAGAACATCCATATCCCCTACCATCTAGACTTTGCTTTTCGTGCCTACAGATGTGGTTTAATGCAGTAAGAACAATTATTGGGAGTTAAGTCAGCACCACATTTCTGGGATACAAGTTGGCAATATTTACCAAAGGCCTTGAAAGCAAAATTATCCATCTTGATCCAGCAATTCCTCTTTCAGGAATGTATCCTCAAGCAGTAATCAGATGCATAAAGAGGTAATTATATTTGTGTTTTCAAGAGCTTTTTTAAAGCCTAAGTAAATACTGGACGCCTGGGTGGCTCAGTTGGTTAAGCGTCTGCCCTTGGCTCAGGTCATGATCCCAGGGTCCTGGGGTAAAGCCCCACTTAGGGCTTCTCTGCTCAGCGGGGATCCTGCTTCTCCCTCTGCCTGCCACTTCCCCTGATGGTGCTCTGACAAATAGATGAATACAATCTTTAAAAAAAAAATAAAGCCTAAATATTGAGAAGGGGGAGAGACAGGTTAAAGTATAATACACCCAACACATCAAAATCTTAGGGTCGGGTGCCTGGGTGGCTCAATTGGTTGAGCGACTGCCTTCGGCTCGGGTCATGATCCCGGAGTCCCCGGGGTCGAGTCCCACATCGGGCTCCCTGCTCAGCAAGGAGTCTGCTTCTCCCTCTGACCCTACCCCCCCTCATGCTCTCTTTCTGTCTCTCTCAAAAAAAAAAAAAAAAAATCTTAGGGTCACCATTAAAATGCTCTGATAAAATATTATTTGATAGGGGAAAATGTTCATAAATACATCAACAAATTTTAAAAACCAGATTACCCAAAAGCGTGTATGGCATGATACCAATAAGAAAAACTATAAAGTGGCAAGATAAAAACTGGAAGAGTATACACCCAAGCCTTAATAGCAACAGGATTTCTTTATTTTTTTAGAAATTGGCAACAGATTCCATGGCACAAAATTCAGGGAAATTTTCACTCCTTCCCATGTCCCACTGCCACCTCCTCGAAGGTAATCAGGGTTAAAGGGTGGCGTTTCGTTTACCCACTGGCGACTCCGGGTGTCTGCTTCCTACGGTGAAGTTGTGGGGACGTGGTCGGGGGGCGGGCTGGGCGGGGACAGGAGCCCCGACCGGTTCCGGGGCGCCCCGCTGGCCCCGCCCACCAGGTGTGCCCCCCCCCCCTCCCGTAGATGCACGCACACCCACCCTGGAGCCAGACACGATGCACGCGCGCCTGCGCCTCTCTGCGGACCGCCTGACTGTGCGCTGCGGCCTCATGGGCCGCCTGGGACCCACACCCGCGCTGCGCTTTGACAAGCTGTGGCAGGTGCTGGGTCGCGACTGCTACGCCGCCGGCCGCCACTACTGGGAAGTGGACGTGCAGGAGGCAGGCGTCGGCTGGTGGGTGGGCGCCGCCTACGCGTCCCTGCGGCGCTGCGGGGCCTCAGCCGCCGCCCGCCTCGGCTGCAACCGTCAGTCCTGGTGCCTCAAGCGCTACGACCTGGAGTACTGGGCCTTCCACGACGGCCAGCGCAGCCGCCTGCGGCCCCGCGACGACCCCGACCGTCTCGGGGTCTTCTTGGATTATGAGGCCGGCGTCCTCTCCTTCTACAACGTGTCGGGCGGCATGAGCCACCTGCACACCTTCCGGGCCGCTTTCCAGGAGCCGCTCTACCCGGCCCTGCGGCTCTGGGAAGGGGCCATCAGCATCTCCCGGCTGCCCTAGGGGCCGAGACCGGAGTGACCGCCCTAGGCCTTCCACTGCTCTGGTCTCACCCGACCCCATGTGGCTGGGCTACTGCCAGCTCCCAAGCACCCCCATCTCCCCCACTAGTCCTGCCCGGTGCTTTGAAAGGGCTCCTCTCTTTGGCTAGTTTCAAACATGCCCTAAACACAGGTCCTCTACCGGGTCTCAGTGCCACTACACTGCTTTTAGTCCAGGTGCTACCCACAAGTGAACCCTGAGCATCCTGACCATGTCAGAATGGGTTATCCTCAGCCTCAGGTCTCTCCCTCCTAGTCTGCAATGCCTGGCACTTCATGGGCACACAATAAATATGAGAGTCATCCAGCCCTTTCCCCCTAATGTCCCTTTGACCTGCCTCCTCCTCTCCACTCTGCTCCAGCTTGTCCATGTCGCTTTTCAAAGCAGCCACAAGAGCATCGTAACACCTCGGGGCCTGAGCCCTCTCCCATTCTCATCCTCCACTGTACGGCCAGATTGCTGTGCCTAAAACCTCATTTAACCTCTTAGAACTACCAAGAGGTTCCCAAGGACCTCAGGGAGAAAAAAGCTGGCACTTTACCTTAGCATTCAAGGCTTTTCTAGTCTGCCCCCAAACTCCTTATGCTCATCTAGCTTCTGCTCTTTTCAGAGACCCTCCAATGAGAGCTTTTGGCACCTTTGCCCGTGCCTGTCTCAGCCTTCCCCTGGCCTAACTGCCCCAGGAAGTCTTCCCAAGCCACAAGAACCTCTTACTAGGAGAGCCACACATCTAGGACCTTGCTTTCCAACTAGGTTGGAAGCTTTCCAAGGGCAGCTGTGTCCTATACCCTCCCCACCCTGCAGAGGTCAGGATGTCCCTTTCCCTCCCAATGACCAGCAGCCGGCTATCATTGAATCAAAGAAGAGCTGAGCTGAGAAGTCCTCCTGAATCACCCAGCCTAACCTCACTGTACATTTGGGGAGACTAAGGTCCTAAAAGAAAGTTCCTTAAAGTTGGGCCACGCCCCAGCCCCAAGGCAAGTGTTTTACTTGCCCCATGTCCCAGCTCTTCAGGCCCAGCTTTCAATGTGGGAGATTTTACTGCTTATTCATTCCTCAAGGGATGTTGGGAAGAAACCAGCAGGTGACTGTTGCTTAGGAACCACAGGCAGTTTTCCCAACTGTCTTGGAACTAAGAGAGGAGGAGCTAAGAGTAAGGTCTGGATGGCCCAGAGAACCCCATTTTCCATTAAGAAGTGACAAATAGAGAAGGCCAAACCAGGAGGACCTCACAGTCCAGCTCCTCTAGCAGAAGGGGAAGGCCTCTTCTGGGTCTGTGCTTCAGTTCTGAAGATTTAGCATCATTATTTGCCAAATTCCCTAGATGGTTTTGAAATCATAATGTGTTAAATTATCTTCTTAGGTGGTTGGCAAGAAGGCAGTGGTAGGGGAAGAAGATGCAAAGCTGAAACCCACTTATGGTTTCAGGGCATTCATTAATTTGAAGCACATAAAAATGCCAATTTCTAAATTTTCTGACCTAAAAATGCCACTTTCATACAGGGCAATGTAATACAAGTGTAAATCAAGGCAGAAGGAACCTTTAAGAGTGCCTTTGGTTGTAACCAAATCACTTAAAACTCTAGCTGGATAGACAGCATAGTGTCTAAGCACACTGCTCCGGGAATCCTGAAAAAAGGGGAATTCTACTGGGGATGACCCAGAGCTGAATTCTGACAGGGCGTTCCCGACAGAAGATGGATGTGCCTGACCCTACATCTCTGTTTATCCCTGCAAACAAAGACTTATTTCCAGACCCGTAGCGATCGGGGCCAAAGTAATAAGAGCACCTGCTATTTTGTCAGGCACTGTTCTAATGCTTTACAACTATTAACTCATTTGATCCTGACATCATCCCTAGGAGGTAGAAAGTTACCCCAGTTCTACATAGGGCAAAACTGAGATCCAGAATGAGTAACTTGCTCAAGGTCACAGAGCCAGTGGTGAGGTTGGGGTTGTGCTCACGTCCACCAGGCCATACTGTTCAGGCGAACACAGCTGGTCTCTGGCTGGTGCCTGCTCGCTCCTGTTTTGCCTATGATGCTTCACTTTGGCCTACTGAGTCTACCTTTGGGTAACTTTCCTTGGGCTGAGATGAGGTTCTGCACCCAGAAGAGGAACTTGAGTTTGGAGTTCACATATCAGAGACAGCTGAACTATACAGGAAAAAACCGGCGTTGATCCAATGCCTACTCTGTATCAAGACCTGTGCTAGCCGGAAAACGGCAGTTTCGGTACACGGTCATGTGACCTCAGGCTAGTCATTTCACTTCTCAGTCATCTGTAAAATGGGGGGTAAATGACCCTGCCTACTAGTGCTGGCAGGCTCAAATGAGCCACTGGTTATGAACTTGCTTTAAAAACCATACAGTACTGGGTGGCTCAGTTGTTAAGCATCTGCCTTTGGCTCAGGTCATGATCCCGGGGTGCTGGGATCGAGCCCCATATCAGGCTCCCTGCTCCGCGGGAAGCCTGCTTCTCCCTCTCCCACTCCCTGTGCTTGTTTTCCCTGTCTCTCTGTCAAAAAATAAATAAAATCTTTAAAGAAAGAAATAAAAAATAAAAACCATACGGTACTGTACCATGCTAGGACCCATCAGCATCCCCAGCAGACATCCTGCAGTAGCAGGAATCTCCTTCAATATTCTCAATACAGGACTAAAGTTTCTTTGGGGTCCATGACTATAAAATCACTTACTTAATTCTCCTTCAGATTTATACTTACAGAAATTTCTTAATACAGCAAACTGCTTACAGATATTTTTTAAATAACATTAATTTTATAAACTGTGGTTTTAATAAATATGAATATATCCCTTGTAACCATGTTCTTCATTGGGAGTTCATGTTGCTTCAAGTACACGGCACCTAGGCCTGGACAGGACTTCACTCACCTCACGTCCCCTCCACAATTTTCCTGTGGCAGTCAGTTGGTCCCAGGTTGAAAAGTGCCAGTGATGGGGAGTTCACTACGTATGAATATAACTAAGTGCTTGCCTACGTACAAACAGGCACTACCTTCTAGCTGTTCCTATCCAAGACAAATACTACGTAGCTTTTGGCATCTTTGTGATCATCCTTTAGCAACATGGAAGCCATCTGTGGTCACTTACTGATTCTTAAGAGATTCCAGGACCCTTCCTTGCCTATTGCATCTCTTCTGTTTCTGCAGTTCCAGTTTGTCAGGGAGCAGGAGATAGGGATGTCAGCCTAGCAGAGGATACGCACACGTGGGCCTGCACAGCCTGGTCCTGGTGGGCAGGAGTCTGTACTATGAGGAGGGGACAGCCCGCCCAAGAAGCCAAGCTGCATGTGAGGTGAAGTTAGGGGTAAGCATGAGAGGGGGGGGCCAGATCTGAGTCCAGCATATCCCCAGAAGCCTTCTATGGTTCTCTCCCACAGAGAGAATAAAATCCAAACTCCGCAGGCTTTTAGGCCCTTGCTTCCTTCCTTTTTTTTTAAGACTTCCTTATGTTAGAGAGCACGAGCCCAGGGGTGGGGGTAGACAAAGGGAAAGGGAGAGAGGATCTCAAGTAGACTCCACACTGAGCGCAAAGCCTGACGGGGGGTTCAATCTCACAATCCCAAGATCATGACCTGAACCGAAATCAAGAGTCAGCTGCTTAACCAACTATGTCACCCAGGTGCCCCCCTTGCTTACTTTCTGACCACCTTAAAAATCCTTTGTCCCCATGGAGCCACTCCCTGCCAAACCATCACCTGCATGTCCTTGGACACTTTGGCACTTCCCAAGCCTGTGCCTCAAGTGCCACCATGGGGCCTTCCCTGGCCATGCCTCCTCTCCTATCCCTAGTCCCAGGATTCCCATCCATGGCTCCATGACCTTTAGAAAACATCTCAGCAATTCACACATGTAGGGTACAGTTTGTAGAGATGCCTGCACCCAATAGGCCATGAACTCTCCAACGGTACCTGTCTGTGCATCTCCCACCTGGCAGGTGGTCAAGGATGTCCTCTATACCTGAGCTTCGCAACTAAAGGTATGCTGGGATATCAATCCTTCCACCCTCAGGTCAGCCAAGTGCAGCACAAGGTAGCCAGCTCCTACTGGCTATGGGCACACTGAGTTTACCCACCCTTGTCATACACAGGTGATCGTTTTCAATCACACTTCAATTCTTAGCACATCAATTTGACGCATTCTCTTTTACACATGAGTACAGCCCAGGATTCCCTCCCCACCCCACCCAGAAACTTACAAATATCAGTGCCTCAGGGTGCCTGGATGGCGCACTTGGCTAAGCATCTGACTCTTGATTTCGGCTCAGGTCATCATCTCATGGTCGTGGGATTGAACCCCGCGTCGGGCTGTGCGCTCAGCACGGTGTCTGCTTGAGATTTTCTCTCTCCCTCTGCCCCTCCCACTCATGCTCTCTCTGAAATGAATCTTAAAAAAAAAAAAAAAAAAAAAAAAATCAGTGCCTCTGCAGAAACTGCTTTGGGATCCACAGGGGAGGGAGGCGCTACACTCACAAGTAAAGAAACTTCAAAAGGCTAATTAATTCTATACATCTGAAAAGAGACTCAAGTATATGCTTTGAAACAAGGCATGATAGTGAACAAGGTCAGATAAATATGAATTCCTATAAATAGGCATCTGGAAGTATATCTGAGAAGAATCATTCATCTCAGTCTTGGTTCAGAAGAACGGAGGGGAGTCTGATACTGACTTTCTGTGAAAGGCTCACACTGCTCTTCCACAAAGGAAAACACTGCGGATCTTTCTTGTTAGCAGGGTTTGTAATTTCATAATGAGCAGGGAAGGGCTGTTTTCAGCATTACCACCACATTTAAAGGTCACCACCAGCTACAAATATACCAAGCCCTCACTCCCTGTGTCCCTTACACAGCCCTATTTCCCCCCATTGCACACACCACCTTCCAACTTACTGTGATTTACTTACTATGCTTCTGGTTTGCTGTTCCTCTGTCCCCGTCTGAGTGGAAGTTCCGTGAAGAGGAAACGTGGGCTGTTCACTGCTGCCTCCCAGTACCTAAAGTAGGGCCTGGCACACAGCAGGACCTCCATATTGTGGAAAGGAGGAATGAATGTCCTTTCTCTCTCTCCACTCATAGAGCTGTGCAGGCTTTCAACGTCTCTCAGCCTGCAGGCCGCCTGGCCGGTCCCTTCTCTGATGCCGAGTGACTGCTGTGCAGCTCCCTGGATACGGAGTCCCCGGGCGGGGAAGGAAAAAGGGCAGTGGAGAAGAGACAGGAGGTGTGGAGGGAAGGGACATTTCAGGTCATGTGGATTGGCTTTACAGGCAGGATGAAGGAAGGCTTAAAGAGGCCCTTGTACAGCCAGCTCGCTCGCTCTCTCACACACACACACACACACACCTCTGTGTACCCACACAGCAACTGAACACCCCTTCTGGGCCAGCCAGCCCGAAGCAGCCAGCTCTCTCTCTCTCTCTCTCTCACACACACACACACCTCTGTGTACCCACACAGCAACCGAACACCCCTTCTGGGCCAGCCAGCCCGAAGCAGAGACTGACGTGTTTGCTCTTTGTATCCCTCCTATGGGCTTGCCAGTGCCTGGCCCAAAAATGCGTATCTCGGGAGGAGCAGCAGATGAAGGCCAGGTTTCTAGAGACCACCACTCCTATCCCACCTCACCCGACAGTACTAGCAAGGCAATTCAGAGAATGGCACTTTATTTTAAGACTTGATTTTCTTGCCATGATTTTCTACCGATTCTTCCATGATGGTGTCGTCTTCTTCGACAGTGACCAGGACCTTCTTGCCCACCAGACTAAAGATGTCTTCAGGAGGGTAGCCTTTGGGCTCACCCACCTTTACCGTGAGCATGTCCAATGTTAAAACAGTGCCTTCTGGAATTTTCACTTTGGCCACCACGGACTTGCCCAGCTGTGGATAAAATTAAGACTCAGTGCCAGCTTCATAGAAGTTAGCTGGTTCATATTGTTTTATATCCAAGGTCCCTGACCAGTCTTCACAGGTACCCTGGGAGCAGGGACTCTGTTCTCCCCTCAGTGCCTAGAACAGTATCTCACACACAGCAGGGCCTTGGCCAATGTGGGGTGAACGGAGAGGCTCAGAGGAGGGGCCTCCGGATAAATGGCACAGGAAGGACTCACAAGACTGAGTATGCTGCTACTCAGAGGACGGGAAAGGGGACCATCTACAAAGGGGCAGACAGGACAGGCAGGGGAGGGGAATAAAAAGTACCGGAAGCTCATGACCAGCCTTTCTATGTCTTGTCCATAAATGCTGCTGAACAAATCAGTTTCACTCAACATCCTCCATGTAAGGGCCAATGAATCAATTCTAAAATTTTGTGCCAGGACCAAAGGTCTGCCAGTGGATGTTATCAGATGATGCATCAACCTGCTGTAGTTACTGTTTGCCCAGGGAGTCGGGAGGCTCAAAACCAAATTAAGGGCTCTGCTCTTCTGGTGCAATTCCCTCCCCTTTTCCTCGACAAGGCAGTTTGTTTCTTTTTACTATGATTTCCATTTCCTGGTACGTAGGCATCTTTAATTTGAGGGAAGCAATCAGGTCCTACTAGAATAAAAGGTGACAGCATTCCTCACACATGCCTGGTGTTTGGGCTCTGCCTCCACCCAGACAGCCAAAGCAGATCAGGAGTGCCTGCACTCCTACCAGCCCCAGAGCACCTGGCTCTGTGACCAGAGGCCGAGACAGGTCTAGAAGCCCAGATGGTCAGCAAGGCAAGAAGTGTTCCTTGGCCTCACCATCCCATCTGTCTGAAGGTCAATGCTGCACAGCTCCCACTGCTCCCGGGGGAAGGCTTGCGCCGTCCCCCACCAACCCTGGAGACAACCCACTGCCCCGCCCACCCGGGGCCTCCTCTGCTTCCGGATGCCTCGACGTATCACAGGCCCTTCTCCCACTGCCTCACGGAACCCCTCTGCCTAACTGTTTCTCAAGGCTTACCTACTCCAAGGGAGTAGGACTTCACCACCCAAGTGTCTCACAAGGCTATCCCTGCCCCCTGACAGCCCCTGGAGTCTAGAGCACTAGAGCCAAAGGCTTCAGAGGCTAGGGGGGAAACTGCAACAGGGTCCTAGGAGGCCGCAGAAACTGCTGACGCTCCCTTAAGTGACATGCTTCTCCCGCTGCTAACCTAAGCCCAGACTCCGAGGGTCAGCGTGGCCTCCGGCAGGGTGGCGCAGAACCCACCTTCTCGTTGCAGGCAATCTCACAGGGCAGCAGCTGCTTGGTCGGGGAGCCCATGGCCCTTTCCACAAGGCGCACGGACTGCACCAGCTCGGCCAGCTCTGCAGGTTCCAGTGAAGCCGAGTGGTCACTCCCCTTCCAGGTCTTGTCCAAAGTTATGTGACGCTCCAGCACCTTGGCGCCCAGAGCCACCGCAGCCACAGATATCGCTATGCCTGTTTCGTGCCCAGAATACCCTATGGGGATGTCAGGAAAGAGCTTCTGATATTCCTTTAAAATAGAAAGAAAAAAAAAAAAAAGAAAGAAAAATGGTTAAATATTGTGGCACTTTATGCACACAATGCAGACTCAGGCAGACCTCAGATGGAGTCCCAGTTTGGCCTCTCACTGTTTGTGCAACTACAGGCAAGAAGCTGAGGCTCTCTGAGCTTCTCCTTCCTGGCATAATATTGGTACCTGTCCAGGGCTGCTCCAATTGCAAGAAAAGCACTCAGCACACTGGAATGCTCCAAAAACAACAGCTACTGTTAGCAAGAATGCACCCCTAAGAGTGCTTCACACGGCACAAACCACCAGGAGTAACAACAGAACTATAACCAAATGCCTAAACTCATTCAAAAAGCATCTGTCACATT